ACTGATCAAGATCATTCAAATATTGTAAAATAATTTTTTTATATGTTTCACACTGTGTGTAAATTAATTGTGTAAGATCAATGTTTCTTCCTATTGTAATTTTCACCCAATATTATAGAAATTAAAATTTAACTACTGGATGTAACTAATTTTTATGTGCAATTTTCAATAAATAATTATACATTCATGTGAGCACAATGTTATAATTTGCCATAATTATAGAACCCAGAAAATGTGTACCAGATTAGGTTCAGATAATTGCCTAGATGATCATCTGAATATTCACTTTAGCAATTTGATTAACGCAAAGATTTTGTTGATTTAAAAAAAAACTACATATATATATTATATGACTCTGAATGCAACAAACATAATATTTAAATTTCACAATAGTTCAGTCATTGTTTCTTGATAAAGCATAGTGATTTTTTACAATGAACTTTTTTTTTACTAACAATTCTCTACAAAAAGAGTTGAGACTTTATAAATTTTTCTTATTAATACAAAGCTTTTTTCAATTAAATAAAACAATATTTCATATACTCTATAACATTATACAATGTTACAAACTTTTTCTTTTGACACTCAAAAAAAAAATTTTTAGTTGCTAATTTGGGTTGTTTTTCTTTTTTTTTTTTGACAATTTATATAAGTTTTTAACTTCAATGTTTTAAAACAATCTGTGTTTCTATTTCTTAAATTATGTGAGTTTTTATTCATATTTATTAATTTTTTTCAATCTCATTTCTTTAAAAAAATAACTTTGATCCCTTTAATTGGATAAGTTCTTCATGTTGTTGATTTTTCTTGAAACCCATGAACTCACTTCAAGCATCTATTTTTAATATTTTCAAACTATCATGTTTTTAAAAGTGATTTTAGGTTCTAATTCATCGTAACTCTCAATACTTGTAGGCTGGTATAAGTATTTGTTGAAGTGAGGAAGTAGATTCAATATATTCAATAGTTCGTTAGATTCTAATTTATATTATAGCTTTAGTATGCAAAATAGTGAAGTAATGGTTTACAATATTAAAATACGTGACTGTAATGAACTTTGAATCTTTTTTGCATTAAGAATAGCTTAGAAATATTTATTACGTAAATTTTTATTTTTTGCATAAATTAATGTAAAGCATAATGGTAATGAATATGTATGTTCGATCTAATTATCTGGATGCCCATCCAGATTCAACCTGGTGCACATTTTCCAGGTGTATAATTATCATAGGCAGAAGTTTGTCTGATTGGCTAATAAATTCAATTTAATTTTATATTATTTATACAGTTTAGAGTACTTTTTAAAAAAATGAAAACCAACTATTATAAAGTAAAAAAAAATATATCGAAGGTTTCATTAGAGCTGTAGGACACCATAGCCAAAAATAAGATCTAATTCTTGTCCGTTTAAAAAAGTTAGTATAGTAATAACTTCTCAAAACCTGATAAAATCAACTTATTACTAAGTTAATTTTTTTAAATGGATGAGAATTAGATCTTATTTTGACTATGGAGTCCTACAACTCTAATGAAACCTTTTATATGTTTTTTTTTTTACTTTATTATAGTTGGTTTTCATTTTTTAAAAAGTACTCTAAACTGTATAAATAATGTAAATTAAATTGAATTTATTAGCCAATCAGATGAACTTCTGTCTATGAGTATAATTATAATTATTTTTGGTAAAAAAAATGCCGTAATTTATTATAATTTATGACTGGTAATGCACTTAACAGAAGAAGTTACATGACTGATTCTTCACCTAGTATCAACATATAAAAAAATCATTTTACAATACAAGATTATTCTGCTAGTACATGTTATGATTATAATCCTATACCATTTTTATTATGTGGAATTATAATCATAACATGTAATAGCGGAATAATCTGGTATTGTAAAATGAATCAGTTGTGTAACATCGATGGTTCCCTATGTTATTGCAATCAGACCTCTAATACTTATACTATTTTTAACATTAAATAAATAAAAGTTTATTATATTATTTTGATAATTTATCTTATTTTTTTTCTTTTTACAATGTGGGAAGACGCACATGTCAGACTTTTGGTAGATGAAAGAAAAAATAGAAACGATGAATTTCACTTAATTAGAAAGAAGAAGGCACCTTTTTGGAACAGTGTCGCTGAAAAAATAAACAACAAGTTTAATACAACGTATACAGGAAAGCAATGTACTGAAAAGTTTTCGCAACTGGTTCGAGAATTTAATGTAACTAGTTTTAAATTAATTTAGTATTATTATTATTTTTTTTTTAGCTAATAATTTTATTTTGGTAGCTAATGGTACTTTACAGAAGTGAAGATGGTGGTAAAAGCACTCATTATGGTCAAATATATTTTGATGAATTTCGAACACATTTTTGGTTACGTTCTAGTATGACTTAAATTTATAATTTATAATTTTAATATATTTAATTTTTTTATTCTAATTATAAAATTATATTTTTAGGTGATCAATATAACTATGAACATAATTTAAATAAGTCTAAACATTATTTGAAACAGCAATTAATTCCACCAACTACACTTTCTTTGCAACATCATGCAGTTTTATCTCAATATACAAGTAAAACACATTCTTAGCGTCAGGCAACATCACCTCCTTAATGTACTAATACATCTTATTCGCAGCAACAAGTAACACCATCTTCTTAGCAACAAGTAACATCATCTTCTCAGCAACAAGGAATGCCATCTTCTCAGCATACAAATGTATCTCATTCTCAATAACAGACACGCTACCTATATTATCTAATGATACAATGGGGTTAAGATCAATATTGTAGTAAAAGCTATAGTTTAACATCTAAGCTATAATTTTGTTTATTTACATATACAAGTTTTGTTGCTTTGTAACTTGCATATACAATATTCCGAAGCTTTCTAGTTATATATACTTGCATTTAATAACTATTGTAAAAAATAATTTGGTGTATAATCTTATATACATCAATTTAAGACCAGTACGATTGGTATAAGTAAAGTTTGTGCAGCATGTGAGTACACAGGTACATATATTCTGAGTCATTTCACAATTTGGGTCGATTTCGAATTGACCTAGGTTATTCATAAATTTTCACCGATTGAGAAATGACCCAGGTCAATTTTTAATGAACTTTAAGGATCAGGTGTGACCAATTATTAAGTGACAAATATGTATCAACTACTTTATTATATAAAAATAAATTAGTTGGTGCTTATTTGTCATGCAATTATTTGTAACACCCATGGCAGTGCAACACAGTGTAATTTAAGGATCGGGCGTGACCAATCATCTATATCACAAATAAGCACCAACTAATTTATTTATATAAATAAATTAGTCAGTGATTATTTGTCACACTTTATGAGTCATCACTTGATCCCAAAACTTAAGAACCCAGAATTATTACGTATGTCAAATTAATTAATACAAAAAAAAAAAAACAAAAATTAATAAATAAATAAACTTTTTGAATGTTTACCTTTATCGATAAATCCTACATTTTTTTTTCTTATTAATGTGTGAAACCTTTGATCGTCAAAGGAAAAACAATCGCTGTTTAATGGATCAAAATAAATAAAATCAATATTTGACTGTAATTCGATTTATATAATCCAAAATTCAAATATAGGGTAACATGATTTTAAAATTATTTACATTGTCGGGGATGCAAGCTTGTTCTGTTGAAAACTTTTTATGCTTTAACGTGCTTTTTTTGCATTTTTTATTATGTGAAATTTTTATTATTTAGTTGTTTTGATTTCTTTATGCTTTTTTCATATAAAAGATTATATAATTTATATAATTTTAGATTTTTAAAAAATTCACCAATTGGGAAATGACCTAGGTTATTTCAAAATTTGAGAATGACCTAGGTCAATTCGGAATCGACCTAAATTGTGAAATGACTTAGAACATATACAGGATTGAGTTATGGCGACTAGAAGTAAACTGGGTTTTTTAAATAAGATAGCTGTGCGATGTTGTTACGCGAAACCAGGAATGACATTTAGCGTTAGAAAATATATAGGTTGTGCACTATTGAATATGTGATGTATGGTGGCAAATGACAAATAAATTTTTAGGATCTTGTTAATTTTAACTTAAATACGAATGTTAGTCTTTATAGCAATGAGTTTGAAAAGAAGTTTGCTTTTCTTGAATGTGTGCAGGTTCGTTTATGTTAGTGTTAGGTGTTTAGGAATTAAAAAAGATTAGTTTATACAGTAAAATTGACCAACGAACCCCTTTTTTAGAGAAACTAAAGATGGTTACTTATGCTAATTTTTGAGAGATAAGTAATTTTGACAAAATGAAGGTTTGTTTTGAATATTCTTGATGGTGTTAAGTTCCACCTGATATTGGAATCCGTTTCATAGTTCAGAAAATCTGTCATAAGTCTGATACACATTCAAGACATGCAAGAAGTTTGTTTATGCCACAAACCTGGCATACATCTCATGCTGCACTATGGTTATGTAATTGCAATATAGATTTAAAATATCACATGTTTCTCATAGATTACCCGGCACGCCATCTTAGAGAAATTTGCATGTCACCTGTTTGTTCATTATTATATTGCTCTTATTATATAGATAGTGTTTGTGTAAATGTATTTTTTTATAAAATATAATTGGTTAATGCAAATTCAAGTATAGTTTCGATATATTCGAGAATTTATTCAAACTGTATGTAATATTTTTTCAATAGTGTTAACTTTACTTAAATTCTGATCAGCTTTCAAGAACCAAGATTGTAATACTCTGAATTACGATTACAAAAATGACTACAGTATGAAATAAGCAATTAGAATCATGTGAGAATTATCTAGTAATACATGTACTGTACGTATAATAAATTAGCATTCATACTGTAATACGCATGCTCGTACAAATTAGGAAAAATCAAGATATAGCCTGCTATACATAGATAAAGAAGCCCCATATGCAAATTAAGAACAATCAAGTTTCATATAGCGATAGACGAAAAAGTCACATACACAATTTAATTAAATAACTATGTACGTAGAATAGTGCATAAATATAGAAATAAGTAATCATATGATGCATATAAAAAGAATTATCCATTCAAAAGCACATATTTGTACAGAAATATGTACTTGAATTGCCGCTTAACCATACAGCCTGTTCTTGGTATAAATTTTGTAATCTACATACTACATCCCTGGTAAGGTTATTATTATATCTGCATTTTTTTGACAGTTAAAAATGTTTTTATTTACTAACCAGATTTGTATTTTTTATTGTTACTCTTTTTTTAGTATCGTTTGGGGTGCCATAAAAAGTTACAAGGCATTTTTATCTAATATAATCCTGAATCCGCGACTTCACTTAACTTGCATACTCAAACTCTGTTCCTGGTATATACTGCACTGTTATCTTAGACACAGAAGCCTGCAACCCATTTAGCAAAGGTCCATGCACTACTGTACTACAGTAGCCATGAAGCCTATAACAAGGTCTTTGCACTGTTGTCTAATTGCTACAAAACCAGGTGTTACACTACTACCGCAGCTGTGGGGCAGTATTAGTGGAGCTTCATTGTTACAATACTAGGTCCTTATACTGCTACTGTCAAGTATTTAAACTTATTGCGGGTCACTACATCATGGGCAAGATGGGTTGGATGATAGAATAGCCTTCCTACAAGGCAAGCAATAGCAAAGAGTAAGATAAGCTTTTTTTTTTACTAAAAACATTACCTTTAAATACGCTGCATTACATTTTATTCCTCCGTCCCACTGATCTGATTCACGCTTGAAGCCATATAAAAATACTCCTTTACTTTAGCACTAATTTGTTAACATTCATATCTATTCAATCATAAACTTAATCAAGAAATACCTAATCTAACAAAAACAATACAGCAAACCATTGTAGTTTAGTAGTTTATAAAAGGTCAATTTAAGTATGTGATCTACAAAGTCATCTGATCTGCAATTCAATGACAAGCTACTGTGAGCTGTGAAACATGATTTCAGAAGCACGTGAGAGGAGGTACGTAATCAAAGTGGGTATGTTGATCCTTTACCTAAGATGGAATTTCCAGTATTATATCAGTTGTAAACATCCTAAATGTCATATCAGGTCTTTAAGGAATATTAGTGTTATAAGAGAAATCAGTGAGATAAAAGGTATAATTAGTATAAGTAAGATAATAAGCATAAGTAATATATCATAGATAAGATGTATAATGTATATTATCTAAAAAAAAGTATATAATAAATGCTTCGAGCCTTACAAAAAGAAGTTTGTTTATAATAAAATTTGACCTAATATATTCCTGCCTTTATTACATTGTAAAACCTATGATCATAAACACACCATTTGCCAAATCTAACTGACTAAGCTGTTCATAGGTTACATGAAATACCTTATCCATTTGAGAAGTAACTAACTTACCATTTTGCTTAAGTTACTACTTATTATAAAAAAATTTAATTTTTTTTGTCAAGAATATCTTATCAATGATAATGATAGTAATTGAAAGGAATAGCAGTGACTGTTAATGTTATACATATATTAAAACTGGTGAGAGTTATATCTATTACAATTGAATTCAATATAAATACTTTATTTGTGATTGATCACAGGTAAGAGAGATTGATTTTGGATTGAACACTGCTTCTACTGTAATTGAAAGACATTAAATATGTATTAATTATTCATTTTTAATTACTAAGAAAGATTATGCTCCAGAATAAGATAGGCTCATTATGGTTATAACTATTTAGTTGTGGTTTTTAATGATAATGATACTAGTGCTAACATAACTGATGATGATTAACATTTTAAATATAATTTTCACATGCTTATTTTTTTCATACTAACATAATAATATGTAAATATGCTATGTCAGTATTTTCTTAACTCCTACTAGATTTGAATAAATGACAACTATTACTTATACTAAAAAAGAATTTTTCAAAATCAGTATAGTGAATATTTCTAATAAGATATATATATATATAGGAAAATTTTTCACATAATCATATGGTGTCACTGTTAATACATAATATTAACTTCTAGCCTAAATAGAAAAAAACTTAGTCATAATTATAATATTTCCTAACTAGGAAATTTTCAAATACGAAAATATATAGGTTTCAAAAAAATTGAACAAAATCATCCTTTGCACATTTTATATAATTATACTTGTATTAGAAATTAAATTTTTAAAAAACTTTAAGCAATAATATATTGGAAGTTTTCTAAACAAATTGAATAAAATTTTTCTATTTGAATTCTTGAAATTCTAAAATTATAACAAAAAAAATATTTTTATCAAATTTGCTTGAATAGTTGTCAAAATATTTTTGTTAAAGTTAGTAAAAACTAAAGATATATCACTACATAGGCTATGTAGTATTTTACTGATAGCCTATATAGGTTGCATAATATTTTAGAGAGAAAACTAGGCACTTGAGTTGCTTAAAAAAAGTTAGAGATAAGTGCAATTTATTTGATTGTATCAATATATTATGTACATTATTGAAATTATAACTTTGATCCTAGACCTGATTCTCTCATATGTAATCAAAAATAGAATATAAAAGAAATCAAAACTCTAAATAGCAAACTGGTAGCAATATCAAAATAAAAAAGTAAATACTTAAATAGTAAAATATATACATTCCTAATTATGATATAAGAACTTTAAATAAATTATATCACCAATAACTCTTAATAAGAGAAATTTAAAAAATAAAAAACTATAATTTAAAATA